GATTGATTTCAGTAATTCCATTTAAAAAGTGAAACTTGTATATTATATTCATACATTACATACAAACTCATATATTTCAGATGTTTATTTTGTTTAATTTTGATGATTACAAATGACAACAAATGAAAATCTCAAATTCATCATATCAGAAAATTAGAATATTGTGAAAAGGTTCAAAATTGATGGCCCCTGGTGCCACACTCTAATCAGCTAATTAACTCAAACCACCTGCAAAAGCCTTTAAATGGTCTTTCAGTCTAGTTCTATAGGCTACACAATCATGGGGAAGACTGCTGACTTGACAGTTGTCCAAAAGACGACCATCGACACCTTGCACAAGGAGGGCAAGACACAAAAGGTCATCGCTAAAGAGGCTGGCTGTTCACAGAGCTCAGTGTCCAAGCACATTAATAGAGAGGCGAAGGGAAGGAAAAGATGTGGTCGAAAAAAGTGTACAAGCAAGAGAGATAACCGCACCCAGGAGAGGATTGTGAAACAAAACCCCTTCAAAAATGTGGGGGAGATTCACAAAGAGTGGACTGCAGCTGGAGTGAGTGCTTCAAGAACCACCACACACAGACGTATGAAAGACATGGGTTTCTGCTGTCGCATTCCTTGTGTCAAGCCACTCTTGAACCACAGACAGCGTCAGAAGCGTCTTGCCTGGGCTAAAGAGAAACAGGACTGGACTGCTGGTGAGTGGTCCAAAGTCATGTTCTCTGATGAAAGTAAATTTTGCATTTCCTTTGGAAATCAAGGTCCCAGAGTCTGGAGGAAAAGAAGAGAGGCACTTCATCCACGTTGCTTGAAGTCCAGTGTAAAGTTTCCACAGTCAGTGATGGTTTGGGGTGCCATGTCATCTGCTGGTGTTGGTCCATTGTGTTTTCTGAGGTCCAGGGTCAACGCAGCCACATACCAGGAAGTTTTAGAGCACTTCATGCTTCCTGCAGCTGACCAACTTTTTGGAGATGCAGATTTCATTTTCCAACAGGACTTGGCACCTGCACACAGTGCCAAAGCTACCAGTACCTGGTTGAAGGACCATGGTATCCCTGTTCTTAATTGGCCAGCAAACTCTCCTGACCTTAACCCCATAGAAAATCTATGGGGTATTGTGAAGAAGAAGATGCAATACACCAGACCCAACAATTCAGAAGAGCTAAAAGCCACTATTAGAGCAACCTGGGCTATCATAACACCTGAGCAGTGCCACAGACTGATCGACTCCATGCCACGCCGCATTGCTGCAGTAATACAGGCCAAAGGAGGCCCAACTAAATACTGAGTGCTGTACATGCTCATACTTTTCATGTTCGTACTTTTCAGTTGGCCAACATTTCTATAAATCCTTTGTTTTTATTGGTCTTCAGTAATATTCTAATTTTCTGATATGATGAATTTGAGATTTTCATTTGTTGTCATTTGTAATCATCAAAATTAAACAAAATAAACATCTGAAATAAATGAGTTTGTATGTAATGTATGAATATAATATACAAGTTTCACTTTTTAAATGGAATTACTGAAATCAATCTACTTTTTCATGATATTCTAATTTTATGACCAGCACCTGTACATCATATGTATATATACATCAGGGTGACACCTTATGTGGTTTTCATTCACATCTTGTAATTTGTTTTGTGGTTATAGAAAATGTTGGATTCCACCTCATGACTCATAAAAGTTTACATTTTCCTCATGGTAATACAAACTGCATACAGACCTCTTTTCTTTTGTCTCTTTGCCGGATTATGTGAAAAAAAATCTAAAACAACTTTTAAAATACATTTTTATCGTTTTCTTTCTAAAAACACTTCTGACTGACATTTTCCCTTTCATTTTTTTTTTTTTTTGTCAAGGAAACAAATAGTCACTGTGACAGATTTTAGTCAAACTTTATTGGAATGGGTGTGCATAAAACTGGCATTGCACTGTCATAAATATGACCCAACACCTGTCATATACATAAAACAGTCCTTATAAATGTTTACAACTGTTGTGATTAAGCCATTTAGTAAACTATTACACTTTTAATCCAATGTTAATATTGTTAAAATAACTTTATGACAGCTTGACATCAACAAAGGCAAGATGTATTGTTTATAACAACTTGGAATTACACAAGAATTTACAATCAATCATCAAAATGTCATAGTTGGTGAATCATGAAAAATTATTTAGATGTACATGTTGATAAATCACACTGTGAAATGTGATCGGTCCTAACTTTGGCTATCATGAGACTATTTCAATTAAGGTATAATGGAGGATTTTGGTGAATATTTGAAAAGACCCGCCTTCTCCAGTTTAAAAAAAATGAACATGTACAACCCTGCATGAGCATGCATGAGCCCATTTCTCTTCGAGGAGGTGCGGTGACACACTCATAAGACGGTCCGAATAGACCTCATTTCACCCAAATTTATATATAAAAGTTTCCCGGCAAACAAGACTATTGCTACATAAAAAAAATCCTGACCTGCTTGGATGTGTGTGTGTGTGTGCTTCAATGGAAATTTGGACAGCTTTGCAGGGCAAATAAGGATCTGTGGCCACCGTATAACTATTAATGATGCAAATTACAAAATAAATAAACTTATCTTCCCTGGAAAGTTACAATATAGAAGTAGATAACTTTTATTAGCAGGGATGTCAAATGGATTTCTCCAAATAGCATGCCAAACTTTAACCTTTCGAGTAGAACCATTGCAACCGAGGCATCAGTTGGAAGCCCCACCTGTGCTTTCATTGTTAGCCATCGTGTGAAAGAGTCTCCCAAAAACATTCTGGTCTTCTTTCTCTCTTCTGAGGCCTTTCTCTTTTTCTCTTATGACCTTCAGTCATTTTCAATGAACCGCGATGAGAAAGGCGAGCTTCAACGACTGGCTAAAACCGTAGCTCACCGTATAAAAGTGCACATGTGCAGAAAAAAACAGCTAACTGAGAGCGAGGACGTAGGACGGCCTGATGTAAACATCTCACCAGAATGATTGACAATTAGGAGGACCACTTATTTTGATGATCCACCTGGAAAAAGCAAATACTCCACTACACCTTTAATATTTCCATTACCTTAAATTGTGGTTAATGTAGGACTTGTTGGAAAGATGTAATTAAGAGTTATTACCGTCAAATGCTATATAAATAACATAATGAATGTTTTCCATCAGTAAAGTTAAACAAAGATGCAAACAGGCGTTATTATATATTAACATCAACAGGTGTTATTAAACTGAATAGTGTGGTGTAATGGTAACATACATCTAAATCCCTATTTAACGTTTGTTATTAAGTGTGTCAGTGTCTTGGTTGGTGTTTAGTTGTCCCTAAAAATACATTTTTTTGGTATAAATAACAAGTGGTAATAAAAACATTTATATCTCTGTTAATGTTAAGTTTTCCTAACAAATATGTGTTAAATAATGTCAGCTTTTCTTTAAAATGGCATAATTTACCATAAAATACTCAATGAAAACATTCATAAACATCAGTATAGTTGTTCTGCACACCCCTTCAGATGAAGCTTCAGAGATTTACAGATTGTTGACTCATAGATTTGTCATCAGCCATATGTGGTCACAGCCTGTCGGAACTAACTCTGAAGTATCCTGAAGGGCAGATTTATTCATTTGTTTACCTGGATTGAAAATGATCATATGATGAGCTTTATTTTATTGATCCATTTTAACTTTTAGCTGACATTTTCTGCATAAAAATATATTTTTTCCCTTTTAACATTTGGTAATTATGACTGCTTATTTCTTTAAAAAATGATAATATTTGATGGCTCAAAATCCACATGCAAAATGGTGAATGTTCACCTCTTTCAGTTATTTTTTAGGGTGCTCATCCAGGTGCAGTCTAAAATCTTTCCAGTTCACTTTGATTCTCTGGGACACCTTTAAACTGGAATGGACTGCACGCTCTAGAGCTCCGCTGAGTTATGGAGCCCCAAGCAAGGCTGGTTATAATCAGCAAAATGTCGTTGTCCTTCGAGGACATTTTTTATGGGTTTTTTTAGGAATCTTATAAAAAATTTTATGTGATTTTACAACAATGTGGAACAGCCTACTCATAAAGACCCAGCTACATGTTTCTATGTGTTTTTTACTTCTAACACAGCAGTTAACACATTTCCTATTGGTACCTTTAAGGACCCAATTAAAGTGTTTAAGAGGGTCCTTGTGAGGGATATTTCTAAAGTTAATGACACGCTGCACTCATCTTGCACTTCTTGTTGTTTCTTAGATAGAAAACTTCTAACCAGTCTGACTGTATAATCTGATTGAAATATCTCAATAAAGTGTCTTGAGATGACATTTATTGTGAATTGGTGCCATAGAAATTAACTGAACTGAATGAATTGGATTAAAAATTGCTCCATTCAAATTTAAAATGTTTTTTTAATGAAACCAGTCATTATCTTTTCTCCAATTGCACTATGTTGATATTTGATAAACCATGTCAGTCACCAAAGTGCTTAAAAAATAGACAAAACCCTAAAGTCAACCAGTAGAAAATACATGAGAAGAAGCTAAGTTTCTTTTTAAAATTTGATAGACGTTAACCTTTTTACAATTATTACGGTAAGAATGAATGTGAATGGCATGGATATTACAAGATCATAATTGCTCACCCAACCAGCCATAAATATTATGGTTAAAAAAACAACAACATTTAAGCATGATTATGTAAAATGCACAAAAACGTACAAGCCCTTCTCGTTAAAATGAGCAAGCATCTTCCTTGGTTCCTGGCAGTGCAGGACAATGATGCTGCCGTACAGCAAAGCTGCCCAATAAAGTTTTAATTACCCAGAGGCCGTAAAAAGTTGCAACCAGTGCAATCACATTCCATGATTCAGAGGATTTTCGTTTTATATCCACCATTCTCTGAACACTGACCCCATAAAAACATTAAGTATCGGTTAATTTTTTATCTTTTATCTTTTCTTACTCAATGCAGCGATGTGGGCATAAAGAGCAGAGAGCGGGTTACTTTCCCCCACTGTCACCCACCATCATCACCTGGACCAGGACAAAGGGACACTCTGGAATATTCTTGTGGAATCTAAGAATTGAATCTTCTCTTTCCATTCAGTTTCACAATGACACTAAACGCTGTACCTATGGAAGTCTGTCATTCCTCCGCCACAGTCTGCTCAGGTACAGACTGCCTTGTTCCTCCAAGTAACTTTAATGCCATTCTTAGCACGGTGTTGAGCATCGTGCTTACGACCATGCTGGCCTTTGTCATGTTTGCCATGGGCTGCACCGTGGATGCCCACAAGTTATTGGGGCACATCAAGAGACCCTGGGGAATCGTCATCGGCTTCCTCTGCCAGTTCGGCATCATGCCCTTCACTGCCTTTGCGCTTTCTCTTGCATTTGGGGTGCTCCCGGTGCAGGCCGTCGTTGTCATCATTATGGGCTGCTGTCCTGGAGGAACCAGCTCAAACATCATCTGCTTCTGGCTGGATGGAGACATGGATCTGAGGTAAGATGGTCAGGCTGGTTTGATGATCCCTATTTCGTTGGGTTTCTTGCTTGGTCTTGTTTCTTGAATTTCATTCCCTTAACATTTTAAAAGATAAAATGATTTTTTCTTTCCATTCAGTTACTACAACTAAAAAACATTTATCAGGCCCCGAAATCTGGTTGTAGTGATGGATTTAGATCTTACCTTAAGAGACAGTAACAAATTCAGCCATCATCTGAAGAACATTTCTGGGATTAAATGACTAATCAGGAGGATCTGGAAAAATATATTCATTTGTTTATCTGTAGTTGAATAAATTGCTGCAGGAATGTCTTCGCCTGGAAGTGTATCAGGCTGCTGGAGTCGATCCAGAATCTGCCTGCTTCCCCATTAAAATGTAAAAAGTGGAGCACATCACCCCAGATCTAAAGGCTTTACACTGACTCTGTGTGTCTCAGGAAGATTTTAAAAGGATTCCGTTATTCCATAAACCACTGGATGGCTTAGCTCCAAATGAAATGACAAATTTGTTGTCAGTGTATGAACTTTACAAACACTTAATGTATTATCTTCTGGCATAAGTCTACTCTTAATACCAACAGCCAGAACCAAACATGGAGAGACAGCTTTTATTTCATATGGTACACTAATTTAGAACAAACTTTTTATAAAAAAACCCCACTTGTTTAGAGTAATCTTTAACTGTAGTATTTGAGATTTTTACTGAAACAACACCAGTTTAAGTCTTTAGACCAACATTTTTCACATGCCCCTATTATTCCGCTTCAAGGTACTTTTCTTTGGGTTTTGTACTTAAGCACAGCACTTTGAATTTGAAGGGTACCTTTAAAATGAAATTTCCTTGGTGGCGAAGCATCTTTGTGGCTGATGGGAGCACATGGGGAAACTTGTGCACCAAAAGCCAATCCATTTACCCTTGATGAAACCTTCAGAACCACATAAAGTTTTGGGTTTTAGTCTGTCCCATTGATCATCTAAGCACCTTTCAAGGTGTCCAACATTTCTGGGTGATAATTATGAAATTTAAATTTTTCATATGTTTCAAAAATCTAAGTAGTATACACGTCAGGACAGGAGTAGTCAGCAATAACTGTCCTACAGTCTGCCTTTTACCAAACAGAAGAAGGGTTGAAACTTTGCTTCCGTCCTTTTGTCTGAAAACATTCAGTTGATAGGAAAAAAGCATCTTGGTTCTTGATTTATTTTGATTCATTCCCAAATCCTTGTGAAGATTCTCAGTCATCAAGGTAATGGTCATTCCAAAAAAGTAAAAAAAATATATTTTTTTTGGTCTTTGTTTCCAAGTTTAAAGACGTTTAATTTCCCATCCAGGAAGCTTTTTCAATTCAAAATGAGTTCCAGACTTTATAGAGTGGACCAAATACTTGCTTTGGCTTAGAAAACATGCAAACTGTACCAGACAAACGGGTCCGCCCCTTGGGAACAAAGAACTCTAACAACCGGTGACCCTAATGTCCGGTTCAACTCAAAATTTTTTACTTTTCTGCACATGTGCACTTTTTGGGGTTTTTTTTGTCCACTCAATAAAGGCTCAAACTCAACGCTTTTTCTGACATTTTTAATAAAAAAATTTTAAAAGGATTCCTGGATGGAAAGCAAAATGACTTCAAACTTAGAAAAAAGGTCAAGTGGATTGTGTTTTTTTTTACTTTTTTTGGAATTTTATCCCAAAATCCTTTTCTGTGTAAATCACTAGTCTCAAACATTCTGTTAGGCTCAGGTGATGTAAATTGAGCTATTTTTTCCCTGCAGCATCAGTATGACCGCCTGCTCCTCCATCTTGGCCTTGGGCATGATGCCGCTCTGTCTGTTCATCTACACCAGTGCCTGGACTTCCAGCGACGCTATAAAGATTCCCTTTGACAGCATTGGTAAACAAAGAAATCTGTTGTCTTTATTCTTACATAGGAGGAATTATTTTGAATAAAGTGGAATCCTTTAGGATACACTGATTATTTGTGTTTGTTTGTTTTTTGTTTTTTTTCAATTTTGAAAAATGACAGCTCATTAACTCACATTTTATCTTTGCCTACTCAGGAATCACTCTTGCAGCACTTCTTATACCAATAGCAGTTGGGATTTATGTAAAAACCAAGTGGCCTCGTATTGCAAAAAAGATCCTCAAGGTAATAATGCTTTTGATTATTTTTTTACAAGCTGTTGAGCAATAAGAAGCCATAGACAGAAAGTAATTGAAGTATTTTTGTGCCCATTTTCACAGGTTGGTTCTATCGCTGGGTTTGCTCTCATTATCATCATAGCGGTGGTGGGAGGCGTCCTCTACCAATCCTCCTGGGTCATTTCTCCCTCCTTATGGATCATTGGAACCATCTATCCCTTCATTGCCTTCAGTATGGGTCTCTTATTGGCCCGGTTTGTGGGTCAGCCCTGGCACAGGTGAGCAAGAAAACATACACCTCAGTAGTCAGTATTTCTTTATACCTAAAGCTTCCCTAGCCTCGTGAGACCATCCTGATCTCGCGAGCTTTCAAGGTTTCACTCGCAGATCAGTCTGGAGTCTCCCCGTTAAAGAAAATTTGGAGCCGTTCATCAAACGAACGTCCAATCAGCGTTGGCTTTGAGGCAGGTTGAGGTGTGACGCAACGAGAAGCACGACAGTTCAGTCTAAAGAACATGGAGGCTTCAGCCGATGAAACTAGCGTTAGCGTGGCTATTGAGCAAGTTTTATCGGAATTACAGAGTATTTGTTCACTGAAAGAAGAGCAAAACACTGCTCTGGAGGCTTTTCTCAGAGGAAAAGATGTTTTTGCTCTTCTCCCGACTGGTTTCGGCAAGAGTAGCCTGGCTTGTGGTTGTGTTTTCTTCGTTGGTCTGTTAGTACGTCATATGCTTCATTGATCTGATTGGTTTATTTGGCCCGTCTATCACCAACATAGGCCAATCAGCTAACCAGTATTTTCGCCCCTTCCCAAAGTTACTTCAACGGAAGGTTTCCAGATGGATATGCGGAGCAAATCCATCTGGCGGAGTCAGGTTAAAGCTTGCCCCCATCAAAGTATGAAAGAAAGAAAGAAAGAAAGAAAGAAAGAAAGAAAGAAAGAAAGAAAGAAAGAAAGAAAGAAAGAAAGAAAGAAAGAAAGAAAGAAAGAAAGAAAGAAAGAAAGAAAGAAAGAAAGTTGACTCTCTAATGAGGTTTATCATGACTCCTTTTTTTCAGGTGTCGAACGATTGCCCTAGAAACAGGATTCCAGAACGCCCAGTTGTGCAGCACTATCACCCAGCTCTCCTTCACCGCTGAAGAACTGGAGGTCATGTTTGCGTTCCCTCTGATCTACAGCATCTTCCAGCTCGCCATGGCACTCGTTGCTGTGATTGGTAAGTCTCCTGGAGGAATAACTCATACTTTCTGTTTTTCCAACATATCAGTTCTCTATTAACTAGAAGGTCATGTTTCTCGTTGTGTCTTTGACAGCTTATCAAGTATATAAAAGGAAATGTGGAAAAGGTTCTGACAATGAGATCAGGGAAGATGATGGAGAAACTAAACAAAGTGCTGTGGATAACAAAGCTTTCGTCTCTGACGAGCTGAACGGCACCTTTGCACACATAAAGGAGTGAGATTCCAAATTGCTGCCAATGATTGACTGTAGTCCTCCTGAATAAAGCAGCATTACTGAACTATGAACAGACAACACTCTCTAGAGGCTGAAAGAAGTAAATCACACAGCAGCAGCAAAGTTTGGAAAGATTTCTGTCTGTATATCCAGAGGTCACCTGAAGGGGGAGCCTCTGACTGACCCAATGCTGTGTTCATTCTGGAAGGTGTTTAGACATAATAACCTGCTTTATTAATTGCAAACTGTTAAAAGCAACAGGTAATTTTCTCTCTTATTATACTGGAACTATGTTTGGAGATGTTTGAAAACATTTATTCTGATATTTTTGTTGTTTTTACTGAAGTATTACTGAAGAACCAAATAATATGAGGGTTAGAGTAAAGGGATGAGGCTCAATTGTAGCTTGCATGTTTTCATGATCTGTTCTAAGGCTGACTGTGATCTGACCTTTTGCTCTTTTTATCTCTGTTGAAGTTTTCTGATAATAAACATAAACAGTTCTTTGCCATTTTTTCCCCAACAAACTAAATTCAAACAAACACTAAATAACCTTACTGAAACAAATATGCATTGCTAAGCATTAATACTGTGCTTTTTATTTGTTTTGTGAGTCTATAGCATGCCGGATAATTATTATATTTGTTGTAAATTTAAAGATTTGAAGAATCCTCAAAATCTATCACCCCTAGTTAAAAAAAAAAAAAAAGTGTTATATAGGATGTGACTTTAAAAAACTAGTAAGAAAGGCTGCTTCTGTCCTACATTGCACTCTGGAATCAGAGGAGGAAGTGGCTGAGAGGAGGATGCTGTCCAAGCTAACATCCATAATGGAAAACACCTCCTACCCTCTGCACCAGACTGTAGAGGAGCTGTGCTGCTCCTTTAGTCAAAGACTTTTACACCCTGTTCAGCTGCTGCAACCAGACTCTACAATACAACATTACAACCGCAATAACTTGTGCAATGTATAATGTGCAATTACTATTTGATACCCTGTGCATTCATTCTTTCTCTATATTCGACACCCAGTGCAATAACTATATATGAGTATAAATATCCATCTATAAAAATACCAATGTAAACAGCCTGTGCAATAATGATCCTACTATAAAAAAACATTTTTTTAAAGCTGTCATATGTGGATCACCTGTATATACTGTATATATCGCATGCATCTTTTTCTTCCTTTGGCATCCTTGACTATTTGAGCTGATGGAAGAAGTAATTTTCCCCTCTGTGAGATCAATAAAGTCAATCAATCTATCAATCTTCAAATAATGAATCTGTTTCAATAAATGTATTAGTGAGTATTAGAAGTGAATATTAGCAAGATGCTGAGAATAAGCTAAGACCAGCCAACTTTTCTAATCTGTGGACCCTTATGGACGAATGGAGTATACACAATTGAAGATTGTATTTATAAAAAGGCTTCTGGATGCCTTCAAAGGTATGTAGCTGTGGCTGCTTTGTTTGTTTACACTTTAACATGCTGCTATATCTGTTTTAACTGTGCTTTGGTGTTCGATGTGTCCATTGAATGAGCTTGGTGATTGAATTGTGGAGAATCTAAGCTTTCCAATGATGTCTAACATGTCTATAGTGGAAAAATTTTACTGGTGGCATTCTGAGTTATTACCCCACTTAACATCCACCGGTTGTCTTAAAGAGGTTAAACTTTCAGTAACTAAAAGATAATAAAACCAAAATGTATTTGCAAGTATTACTTAATTTTTTTTTTTTACATAAGAGTGACAGAAGTTATAGATATGAAATGAAAGAGAAAACATTTCTCTTAGCCACCCTTTAAAGTGAGTCACGTCAGACCAATACGTGCTGGATTTCATATTTCAAGAAATCGTCAATATATACACCTAAGGCAATAATTGTAAAGTATGAAATATCTGTTCCAAACAAGGCTGGACAAGCAGCCATCCACATTGACCATCATTAGGACTTGCAGGATGGTGAGGAAGGAACCATTTCTAACACCTGGGACCTTCACTGCTGCCAAAAGTTTGAACAAGTCTCCATAAGAATCAATAGAGGGACCTGATTATTGTTATAGATTCTAACTGGTTTTGTAAAATGAGTTTAATTCATTTTAGCAAAGTGATTCCCACCTGGGGTACGAGTTCCCCTAGTGGTACCCGAGTGCAGTGTAAGGGGAAAGTGAAAATATTTTATTTCTTAGGTAGTAAATTAAAATAGGGCTGGGATCTGTTCTACTTTCTGAGGACCTAACTAAAAAATAAAACAAGCTTATTTTGAACCAGAAGTACATTTTCTTGTATGTTCGAGTTCCCCTTCGGCTCTGACACACATTGAAGCCAAGGAGATGAACAGCATGGCATCAGCTGTTTTTCCCAGTGAGCTATCAGATCATCAAAGCAGGTGGCAGGTGGCTCAGTGGTTAGTGTGTACGACCCATGTACAGAGGCCTAACTCCTCAACGTGGCCAACCTGGGTTCGAATCCAACCTGTGCTCCTTTGCTGTGTATCTCTCCCCCTCTCTCATACCCCCTTCCCTGTCAGCCTACTGTATAAAAAATGAGCCACTAGCGCTAAAAAAAAGCAGCTCAGGTGTCATAACTGTCGAAATCTTGATGTACTGCATATATATCGTTTATTCTTAATGCACCTTTTTCCTCCTTGTTTGCACCTTCTTTAATTACTATCCCAATATGTGACCAGTGAATTTCTCCGCTGTGAGATCAATAAAGCTCATCTAATCTAATCAAAGTAAAATAAATCCACTAAACTTTTGTTTTCAATTCATCAAGTTTATATGTGATTACATGGGATTAATTTAGAAGAGCTCAATTTTTATAGAGGCAGCTTTATTTTGTATTTATTTTGATTCCTTACAAGCTTCTGGGCAAAATATTTATCTTGTTTTTTTATTTGAGATGGAAAGAATAAAATGCAGAAGAATTAAATGCTTATTTTATAATTAGTAATTGTACGTTCCACTTTTGGACAGTCATCAATACTTTTGATGGAGAAAGGGACTCATGATAAAACAAAATGTCCAAAGGGAACACAGGGTCAAAAAAGATAAGGAAATACTGCTTCAGACACTTCAGACACACACTAGATAATGTAGAATTTGATGCAAATCCTGAACCACCTTTCTGTGTCGTGAAGACAACTGAAATTTTAACTGAAGAGACTGAATGAAGTTCCTGGTGAACTATTCCAAAATTTTATTTGGGTTAAATAAAGTATTTTTGAACTGAACTGAAGTTTTTTTTTTGTGACTGAAAATGTGGAAAAGCCGTTCATGCCTAGCGACGCTGTAGGCCTGATACTGTAAGAGTAAATAGAAATGTATGTAGTCAAATTTACTATGGTGGGATTTTTGATTAGGGGTTAAAAATAAACTGTCCCACAACAGTTTTGAAAAACCACATTACTGTCGTAAATTGAGCTAATAATTATTAATTGATAATGAAAATTGTTAGTATGATATTTAAACGTGAATGGGCCATTCATCTCAATTCTTTACTGTACATAAAAGTGTATATTTGTCGGTGATGATTTTGATTAGAATAAAAATTATTACATTTAATTTCCAATTAATTAAAGTATACGCACATTCAAATATGAATAATTGAAAATAACTACCAACAATAATGCAAGTTTGCAACAATAAGGACGTGAAATCTGAAAATAATTAAGGGTTCTAAACACATTTGCAAAGCTCCTTTTATCATCAAAGCCACCCACTATAGCTGTTAACAGACCATGCAGGCTTTGGGTTTACAATTATAAAGGCATTGTTAGAAAAATGTAAATGTTATTATTTTATTTGAACTAAGTTAAAGCCATTTTCCCTGCTAGGAATGTTGTGTTGTTTTAACTTAAAACGGGGAGAGAAAATGTTCCTTTAAGGAAAAGCCTGGCGTTATCCAGCTATGCTGTAACAGATGACTGATCAACCCCGGCAATAAACCTGCACCTCCTTTTTGTATCTGTAAACTTCTGCCCCCTCCTGTTACTCCTGAGTAGTCCAATAATAAAGGCAGGCGACCGAGAGGTATGGGTCCACTCTCCTCTTCTGCAGAAAAATAACTTGTGTTTTGTCTTGTCTTGATTTATTTCTAGGACAATGAGGGGTTATCATCATTAACCCTATCAGGCCCTATAAAGCCTAACATTTGAAAGAAAGTGCAGTCTGATAATACTGATATGGTCTGAGCATATTGTTTCTCCTTTTATTGCATCTGCATGCAGTTGTTTTGTATACATGTTACAATAATGCCTGCTCATAGGTAAAAGGTCTTTATCGAAAGAATAAAACATGGTACATTTTTTACATATTCGGAGCAAATCTCATAGAACCTTTATAGTCATAAGAGTTTGCAGGTTTAAAATGGGCAAACATAACATCTTAAGTAGAGAGATTACTTAAGAGACATTAAATGCTGAGGGGGTTGCATGTTTAATTTTGGTCTAAAAAAGGGTCTTTGGGCCAGATTGAAGCGCAGATGAGGATTTACTAGTTTACACTTCTCTGAGATAATCCCAATGGATAAATAAAGTTGAGTCTTAAATCTAAAGTCTAATAAACTTATCTTTGGAGAGCAGTCTGACAGTGATGGAAGTGCATCTCATTTAAAAATGGAAACCTTGAAGACACCCTAGCTAGAGCTGCAAAGAGTTTATAGTAATTGTGTGAATAATCTATTCAGCTGATTGCTAATTGCAACGATTTACATTATGCATTAATTGAAGGCCCCAAAATGTAAATTTTAATCAGGAACTCATGGAGGATTGGACTCCCGTGTGAAGCAAAAACCAAGTTGTAGTAGCAGTCAGCTTCACAACTAAGAGTTTAGGGACAAGAAAATGGACCCAACCCCTCTAAATATCTGGTACAAGACACTTTGCTGGAAAAAATAGGTGACTAATGCTGTTCTGACCCACATCCTGTTGGAGAATTTTGGAGAACAGGGATATCAGAAATTTGGGCCAGGCCAAGGAATGTTGGACGCCTAGAAACCTGCTTAAAGGGAAAAAAAATTGGAGAGCATAATACACAAAACATACATGATTTTGTATTTTTCATTAGGAATGGACAATAGAATAACTTTGGCCTCATTTGAAGTTATAATTTATAAATAATAATAATAATAAAATAATTAAACTTTATTGATCTCCCATTGGAGAAATTTACTTCTGCATTTAAGCCATCCCCTTGGGGAGCAGCGGGCTGCCATCGTGCGGCGCCCAGGGAGCAGTGTGGGGGTTAAGAGTCTTGCTCAGAGACCCAGAGAGGCAGTCTGTGGGAGTGGAGCTTGAACTCAGAACTTCAGGATTCCAAGCTCTATGCCCTACCACTAGGCCATCACTCCCCCATAATTTACGATTAAAAGTGCTCTTTATGAACAAAGCATAAACAACACTCTAGTTAAAGTACCATGATTGAGGAAGGTTAAGAAAAGTTGGTCTCTAAACTTAACTGATGATTTTTCAGTTAACTGCTCAAATTAAATAGTTAACCGCAACTGTAAACCAGTAAGGTTTTAATCTTTGTTTACAGGAGCTTAGGGTTTCAGTAATTTTATCGGTTTTTGAAGCTATTGTCCAGATTAATTGAGCATGAGAACTAAGAGCAAATTCTCCATATGTTGTTCTGGCTCTGGGTTTGCAGAG